ATTCTGTATTTGTACTTTAAATTAATTACTATTATTATAACTCATCATTATTATTACTCAATTTTTTCCCCAGACAAGAAGAAGGGCCCAACTATAGATCAAAATAAAACGTGGCCAGTCATGATTTTCGTGGTTTTCACAGTGTGCGTTTTAGTTGCATTCCTGATCTATGTCAAACACAAATCTAGGACAAGAACTAGAGTGAGTACTAGCCATGCCTCTGGGAAAGGGCGGGGATGGGCAGACAGAAACACCACATCAAATCAAAGCTGTATATGAACTGAATTCCTTGAATCAAATTCTTTACAATNTGCCTCTGGGAAAGGGCGGGGATGGGCAGACAGAAACACCACATCAAATCAAAGCTGTATATGAACTGAATTCCTTGAATCAAATTCTTTACAATAAATCAGGGCCTGGTTGTACGAAGCCTGAATAGCACTATCCGACGTACAAATCCGTATCCAGTGGATAAGTCGATGCTGGTATCCAATTACGTTATCCACTGGATACTCAAGCATGTTAAGGCTTGGGATTTTACCGGTTTGTTGAAAAAACACATTTAGTTTAAGCTTAAGCCTCTGAAATGGAGTTTCGGACCTAAAGTGATATTTCGGTTTCTTAAAATTTTAAGCATGGTCTTTTCGACTTCCGGTGGTCACGTGACCTTAAGGAGAGCAAAACAGAAATTTCAAAATGGGCTGGCGGTTTTTATATGAATCGAAAATATTTTTATTTGAAGTTGTTAAGTACATTGACCTTAACAAGAATCTGTCCGGAATAGGTGTCCTTCGCTTTTGGCTAAAGGGATAATTGACAAAACAGGTCACGTGACCGAGTCAAAATATTGAATATTCTTAGTTTTTGCCTTAACTAAGAATGATTTTCAACTATTCCGGACAGGTTCTTGTTAAGATTATTGTACTTAACAATTTCACGTTGAAAAGTTTTCGATTCACATAAAAACCGTCAGCCCATTTTGAACTTTCTGTTTTGCTCTCCTTAAGGTCACGTGACCACCGGAAGTCAACATGACCATCCTCAAAATTTCAAGAAACCTAATTATGACTTAAGTGCCAACACTCAATTTCATAGCTTTAAAATTAATAGAGTTATTGCAGAAACATAGTTTTTCAGCGATCCATTAAAAAACCAAGCCTTAACATGCTTGAGATAAGATTTATCCGTCGGATAGCGCTATCCACCCTTCGTACAACCAGGTCCTGTAGTCACAACTTATTCGTGGTGTGACAATTTTCTCCCAATTCAGCGTGACAACCCTCAAGGGGAATGAAGAGCTATTGTTTTGAAACTCGTCTGGATATCATCATTATTCCTTTCGTATCCTTTGGGATACTCATGAATTTTTCGAAGAGTAAAAGCAAAAGAAAATGATTCCTCTTGAGGTTTGTCACGCTGAATTGGGAAATCATTGTCACACCAGGAATAAGGTGTATTGTATACGAGGGATCGAATTCTCGACTTTCACATCCCCATAATGCCTTGCGTTTTTGGGGGGTAACCAATCAAAAAACTGTCCCAAATTGAAAGGTTTCTTAATTGAATTTATACTATACCTGCTTTTATCTGTACAATACTGATTATCAGTTTATTCCAAGTTATTTTTGCGTGTACAGATCATGAAGAGTTTTGGTCTTACAGAAAATGTATTGACTTACGAAAAAATGTTTAAAATTTACCTTAAACGTATTCAAGCTTCTGTCTTTTTCTTTTTTTTTTTTTACTTCTTCATTTTATCTTTGGATACCAAACAAGGTATTTTCAACATTGTCTGATCAGCCTTCAGCAAAATAAGTGGGTTACGTTTTTACCCTCTGGTTACCCCCCAAAAACGCAAAGGATTATGGGGATGTGAAAGTCGAGAATGTCAATGAAGTACTCTTTTGCCTGTTTTATTAACAGACTGAGGAGCCGCCCCCCAACAATGGCAGAGATCTTTATGGTGATGGCAATGATAGTAATGGTCGCCACCAGATATACAGTCAATTCAAAAAACGTTGTGGTCGACCGGCTAAAGCCTACGCGACTGGACCGAAAGGAATATGGGTAAAAACCACTGAAGCGGTTAAATATTCGTTCTGAATAAATTGTTCCCGCTAGTAACAAGATAATAATGGCGAGAAACAATCCATCAAATGCTGTCTTCCGGTTTAGGGAAAGAAAAACAAAGTAGTTATGATTCAGTTCACAATTTCGAAAATATGAAGGCATTAAAAAAACGTCTCCTTCAACACTTCCCGCTCGCCTACGAAGGTTCGTGCTGTAAATGAGGCATAACTAGTCAGATAAAATTATGGAGTCAACTCGGCTTCAATGATTTTTACCCAGAGTTCCTTTCGGTCCAGTCGCGTAGGCTTAAGTTGGTCGACGACAACATTTTTTGAATTGACTGTATGAAGGTTTATATACAACTGATATCCATATATATAATAATGAGAAGAACAGTTGACCAGATAACATTATAGTGTGTGTGTGTGTGTGTGTTTTGTTAGTTTTCCTTTGTTTCGTTTCGTTTTGCTTTTGTTTTTTTGAGCGCGCAGCTTCATTCTCAGTGCCAACCTCAATAAATCAATATATAAAAACATTATTCGAAATTCATAATTAGGAATTTTCGTTTTTATGGTTAATTTTACTAAGAATATTTTCTTTTTTCTTTTATGTAGGTGATTTCCTATTAAATAATGTAAGTTGTCCAATTTATATACTATCTATCACTACATGCATGCCGCACTCACACACACCATGCCATGATGTTTTGTTTTTATAAAATCTTCTTGAGTTAAATGGGGAAAGTTTTTACAGAATTACAGTTTAAAGTTTTTTTTCTTCTTTCTTTCAAAGATTGGGTTTTAACTGGGGTAGGTAGAAATACTGTAAAGGGAATTCAGGGGTAAACACAGGGGGGTGCCCGGGGGGGGGGGGGGTACTCTTGCCCGTTTAGGGTAGGGATGTGCCGCTGAGCCCTCTGTACCCTGACCCTGTTCCAGAGTGAAAATCGCTGAAATTCATACCCTGTTCCAGAGAAAGATTGCTGAAAACCCTGTTCCAGAGAGGAGAGAGCGTGATTTCAGATACCCTGTTCCAGAGCGAGCGCAATTTTGTATACCCTGTTCCAGAGTAGCAACGCTGAAAACCATACCCTGTTTGGCGGCACGTACCCGTATAGCGAATATAGGGGAGTACAGAGGGGTAGGGGGTGGGATATCATCGTAAATTAGACARGTGTTGATATCACATATAGGTTGTTTTAAGGGTCGGGGGATGGTGTTTTCTTAGATTAGTTTATTTTGTATTGTATAAGCTAGAACGACATGACACATTAATAAAGTTTATTATTATTATAATTATTACCATCATTTGAGGAGTTAGATAACTGAAAGGTTAATTTATGTCACCCTCGTAATATAAAGATTTAAAGAAATACAACTGAGAAATAAGCACCACTAGCATTTACCTATAACATTCATATCCATCCCTTTAGTTTTATAACTGTTGGTACTACATTTTACGTTACAAAGTTCAAAGTAAATTAATTTTTATGAATAAATGACAAGAAAATTACGCGAAGAAAGAGAAAAACGAAAAGAAGAAAACTATACATACTATAGTGCTGGAGAACTAGAGTGAATGTTTTCAAGATGATTCACCACAATACATATAATATGGATGGACTGCAGTGTACAAAAAAATCTTCTTTAAATATGATTAAACATTAAGGGGGAAAAAGTGAAGCCCAATGAATGTTTTTTAAAATATCAAAATATTTCGTTTTGTTTTTTTTCCTATCAGAAGAGTCCACCTAATACTTACGACAGCTGCAAAACCATGTTCTGTTCTTTAACTGCAGCAAGCAATGGTATGTATCTGCAAGTTGTTCTTAAATACTTGGTATATCAATACACTGATGTTCAGCCGCTTCTTGACGATCACTGATGCGGTAGGGAGTCAGACGCCGGCTAGCGTTTAATACGATGTCGGATAGAAATATATGGCATTTAGAAATATATTATTGTAAAGAAAAACTGGAGAAGCTGGAAAAAATCGCTCGCACATAAGAATGAGAAGGAAAAAAAACYCTGTAGGGCGGGGTCCAGGAATGAAGCCCAAAACGTACGCACACGACCCGTTCACCGCCAACCACAGATTCGAAGCTTTTTGAATTRATGTTCCATGGACAGAGGGATAGTTCCTCTTACCCCATGATTTCTTCAGTATGAAACCGGAACGTTACTCGCGGAGGAGGGGGCATGCTATGCCCCCCATCGCGTGATTACCTTAAAAGCGAAGTCTTAAAGTGTAAAGACCATWCACCGGCTCACATTCATTGTTCAACTGCCTTCAATTTCAGAAGTACACATTGATGAAAGTAAACAATGGTGAAGTAGATATGGTCTCAAAATAGGTAAGAACCCCAAACAACCCGAGCATCAACAGCAGAAGCTCACGGCCCTCCCCAGCATTAATTTTCTTGTTTTTCAATAAGTGTCAAACATTACCATATAAGGGATGAAGAGGCAGACAAGGCCTGGGAACAAGAGCAAGGAAAGCGAAGTGCAGAGCAATAGAGGCTTTGCACCATCACGATGGCAGCCATGACATTCTGATTTACACGAGAAAGAATTCAGTTTCACTGGGGAAAAAAGACTATTGTTGTGCCTCCTGTCATGGCTGCTATCACGTGGTGGTGCAGAGCAATAACATATATCCGTTATAAAACTTAGAAATTTTCACAAAATAGAGCAAAGTGYTGTAGGTCCAAGTCTACTAAACTTACTAATTAGTGCATTTTTTTTTTTCAGTTTCCCCTGGACATATGTTGTCTTYTCGTTTCGTAATTTCACGGGACATATTTATAACTCGTTGATTTTCTATCTCCACAGCCTTCTAAAACGTGTATACATGATATGCAAGGGGTTGTAACAAAACCAAATTTACAGATCATAAATAGTTCGACTATGTACAGTCGAACAATTAGACTATGAACAMAGTCTTGAAGGACTATTACTATATCTCATGAAAGCTTTAAATAGTGTGGAGAGACGGGACTGCTATTTTGAGTGATGATGCGAGCCAGGTCAAGGTCTAACCATTTGTAGATGTTATTACTAAGCTAGTATTTTCTCAGTTAAAACTAATACTTGTATATCGGTAGCATTGTGTTTGATTTATTCTCATCCTACAAGTCAGGACTCCACTAATTAAATACAGACAAACAATGATGTAATTCTGGTTTAGTCCAATAAAATCTATCGATTATAGCAGTTTATTGATTTGTGGTAACATCTATCTCCGTAACAAGACGCAAAAAGGTTATTGTTATTAAACACTAGTCACGTGTTGATATCAACTCAATCATAAAATGAATACAGCCCAAGTCTCTTAGCTTATAGTCTGTGAACAGCCTCCAACACCCTTTCCCATATTTACTGGGATAAAATGGAGAGGGGTACAGTACGCACGCTACTAAGGTCGCTACACGCCCTGGTCAACAAATTAAACCGCTCTGTATCTTGAGGAAAAAACTATTTTATAAGGGAAAGATAGGTTAACAGTTGGGAAGAGGGTCACTTTTTTGCATCACTCAAATCTAGGACGCATTTGGATTTACGTGGAATCAATTCATAATCTACTTAAAATTAAGAATGTTTAACTTTTAAAGTCAACACAAGATGTTAATCAATCTTGATGCATGTTTTGGCATRCGATGTCGTTTGAAGACTTCGCACTAAGAGAACCATGCTTTATGAGCTCCACAGAAACAGAAAGAAAGAAGACTGATCCATCTTGATTGCTGTAAACACCAAGATGCATAGTTGAGTTCTTGGGATGCGAGTAGAGTCGTTGTCTGTGATCTCGTAAAGTCGGTATACATGTGTGGATGAYGTTAGTAATTCTGCTGCTGATTACGATTACGATACCGTCTGTCTCCTCCTGGAAAACAATCAAAACACTGTCAAACATGAAAAAAAAAAAAACACTGTCAAAAGTGTTTTCCCATTTCCCTTGAGTATGTTGTCTTTCTTTGCGAGGCCTATATCAATATCGCATGGAATCGCATGCTATTTCTCGTATAAACTAAAAGACCCTCGTTTCAGATAAAATATCCGTTCTTGCAGCAAAAATTGACATTTGAGTTTTTGAAGTTCATTAAGTGATGCGTGTTGGTCAGCGAATAACACCTTAAACATCTTGTATCTATACTACCTCCCATTCAAAGAAACTTGGATTTTCATGAAGAAACATTAAAGAAAAACTCGTATMGTTTTTGTATGATGATAAACGAGGTGTGCATAAGGTGGAGGGGTAAAGGTAATGGTTTATGGATGTGCTSGATAAACAGRATGCATTGTGATMTAGCTTCGGTACAAACAACACCATATTAGCACGWTGAACAAAAGATGTTTGTACCCAAGCTAGACAACTATGCACTATGTTTGCTATCTCAGAAAAGCTCTAAGGCACTCAGAATGAATTCAAGGAGGATACCTTGTCTGTCTTTGTACTGAAAGAATCCGCCACCACCATGTTTTTGATCATAAATACGYTCATTATTTTCGACAAGAGTTCCAACCTGGTAATAAGAGAGAGTAGAATTACATATACGAAAACTGGTAATGATACCAAATATTTATGTATGAAACAAAATCTTTCATTGATCKGAATGAACGAAGCAAGAAAGGAAGATAGAAATAAATGAATGAATGGAAGGACAGAAAAAAGGAAGGAAGGAAGGAAGAAAGAAAAAATGGAAGGGGAGGAATGAATGAATAAATGAACGAATGAATTGAGGGAGGGAACCTGTATCAGAGAATTGTAGTTTCATTTTACCCTCCACGTTTCATCAGGAGTAAAAATTCTCATCATATCAGGCTTGAAAAATGAAATGAGATTTATGAGTGGTGGTTATTGCAAATGAATCTAGAACTGTTGGTTGTTGGTTGTAATGTTAGTGACCTACCTTCTCTGCTAGCTGTATGGCAAGGTTTTGTACCAATGTTGGTTCTGCTCCATGGTGCATTACTAGTGTCTGTGTTGGCTCATCCCACGAYGCCTATCATATTAACAAACATRATTGATTCAAATGAGCACATTACARCTGATTCAGAGCTTAGTGCATGACATCTTTCTCAGGTATGAAGATATGCTTCCTTTCAATATTCTAAATCCCAGGTAACTYGTAACCAATGCCATGATTTTGGCAAGCTATGAGGACAATATGGCAAAGCAAGCATGATTTCAACATCAAAGCCTGTATCAGAGAATTGTAGTTTCATTTTATCCTCCACATTTGATCAGGAGTAAAGTTTTCTCATCATGTCAGGCTCTCTTCGTTGACTATTTCCCATCATAGCCAGGCAAACACACAGCATTCTGGTATAGCTTGGGTTTTCACCATATATCTCATTGGTAGTTTTCATTGTTAGAATGTTTATAAGTCAGAATACACCTTKGAGTCTATATTATGGACAAATTGTTACAGGCTTTGGGGGACCAAGGCAGTTATGGCCTTGTGGATCAGATCATAGGTAACCCAATACCTGGCTATGCTTTTAACCCATCTCAGGGGCAGATCCAGCCTAAAATAAAAGGCGGGCTTGAACGAATTTTGCTTGACTTAAGTAACYGCTTATTTTACTGTWAATCCATTACTTAGATCAAATAAAACTATATATGRCTGAAGAGGGYTACAGACCCAGCCTTTGCCCCTCCYTTTGTCCCCCTTGTCATCCTATTGAGAGAAAGAATATCTAGTAAACAAAGTAATAATACTTAAGGGGATGACACAAACCTGTAGTTCTTCATTGATGATCATCTTGCTGATGGTGCTATGGACCACTCCTGATGGTAGTTCAAACATGTCTGCCAGGGTATGAAGACTAGTGGGAGAGATGACAGAATATAAACTCCAATAATTATAAATATACAGTAATAACAAAATAATACATAAAAAAAACAATTTTCTTTCACTTCAAGTGAACTGAATTGTCCCATGAGAAATAAGTAGACCTTTAAACTGATGATTTTATACATCAAGAGATAAAAAAGAAAAATGGACCAATAATAGATATCTGAGGATGTGGAAAGAGTTAGTACAAATATCAAGGGCAGATCCGGGGGAGCGGGGGCAAAGAGGGGCTGCAGCCCCCCTTCAGCAGAAAAACAAAGCAAAACAAAACTGAAGAATTAGATCCTTCTTTTATCGTTTTCCGTTGTGTTGATGGGGCAAGAAACTCAATTAGCCCCCCCTAAACTCAATTAGCCCCCTCTAAAATTATAGCTGGATCCGTCCTTGAATATCACCATGGTGATGATAGTAATATAGACTTTGTAACTTTGCTTTATGGGATTGTCCAGTAGAGTTGTGGTTGGCAACTTTAACAACAATCAATCAGCACAGCAAATTCAGACAAGAAGAATTTGTTTACTGACCTGAGAGAGTCATACACACTACTGTATGTAAACAAGTATGTTCTCAARCTYTCTTCTTGGAGTTTCCTAAACAACAACAATCAAACAATGTCACACTTTTGAAAATAGCATAAATTTTATTTTGTAAGTATAAAACAGAAATGAAAGCAAAACTATAAAAATATATTTCATAGGAGATATACYTATGAAGTAATTGACGTAATTCACTATGACGTCACTGCTTGTTTATGTGGGGGATAGAATCGCCAAATCCAATAGAAAATTCAACAAAATTTGCTCCTAGCAAAACAGTTTAATCTAAAATGGCCTGGTTCGGATATAATATCTGTTAATATGTACTAAAAAATATTCTGAGCGTTTGCTGGCTATTCTACTTCTCTTCGTGGATTGATACAGGTTTTAGAACAATTTTCATTGAATTTGYGTTGATTTGACCCCGGCCTAYGACCATGATCCTTTGCGTTTAAACAATAGATTGTTGAAAATTGTTATGATGTGACGTCATACTGAATTAGGGCAATTGTGTACTTGATGTTAATCAGATGTACTGTATATTCCCAAACTAAGGACTCATAGACTGAGTTTATGGGCCCAACTCTCAGGGAATACATGTCTAGTTCATAAGTCATGACATGACAACATCTTAATACAAGAGTTGACAGACAGTGAAACAAGACACTTGATATACCACATGTGAAAGTCATCTCTGGGTAACAGACACACAGAGAAGTATGATTGACACTTGTGGCTAGTGGTTTTTACTTGTAACACAAACATGAGCTTAACACATATAGGTACAGTATTTGGATGGCTCAGAGGTAGTACTGTATGCCTCTAACYTCTTATGTCCAGGGTGGATTCCTGGACTCGGCATTACATGTGAGCAGAGTTTDDTAGGTCTCTCTCTTTTGATGCCTGTCCTTCTCAAGAAATGTCATGCCYGTACCCTAGAACATGGCCRTCATGAAACCATGTCAGCATTTAATGTATACTTAATAAAAGTTGCCCCATAGAGGGTGATAGAAAACCTACATAACACTCTAAATCAGTTTACATACCTCAATAGCATTTCTCTKACTTGTTCTGGTCTGCTGAATAATTTCCAAACCTAAAATACACAAATTTTCAATACAAGTGAAGTTAATTTGGAGAGAAATTTCTATGGTAGGCTCTAAGACATGTGATAAACGTGATTTATTGTAGTCTAACTTGGGGCATGATGAACGAAAGATGTTGTTTCCCAAGGTAGACCACAATGCACCAGGTCAGTCGTCTAAGTAATAGTCCCTTTCACAGTTCCCTGCACCATCTTGAAAGGTAGCCATGCCTTTGCTTCGAAGGGACATAAACAGTGAGCTTGCAATGATAGAGACCTTTTTTTAACAACTTGGACTTATTATTATTATTCACAGGTCTCTATCACTGCAAGCTCACCCTTCAACTCATTTCAATGCAAAGGCCAGCTACCTTTCAAGATGGTGCAAGGAGCTCTGAAGGGGACTATAGTCTATGGGTCTTCCTATAGACATAATGCAACTGTTAGGAATTCCTAAGGGTGGCGTTCCATACCTTGACAGCCATGATGTAGTCTCTACATTTCTTCCAGTCTCCTGTCATCATAGCTTTAGATGCCGCCACAACATGTTCTCTCATACTCTCCGGTGGACCTGATAATAATGATCATTAATAATAATTTAATACTTATATTTCACATCATTCATGGTAATCGTTAAAGGACATGGCAATCAAATAAACCAACCACAGGAGACAAAGCTGCTGTGTATCCAGTAAAAAAATGTTTGGACTTAGTAGCATACCTGTCAAAGAATCTGGCTGCCGTATCCTAAGGAAGGCAGTTTGTATTTTTTAATTTTAGTTACTGGTTTAGTTAACTTACCAACAAGAGCTTGTTTTTCACTTAGTCGTAGCTGATAATGGAAGCTTTTACTGATGATACGTCTTCGGAGATCATGAGCATGGGCTAAAACACAATATAAAAATAATGATTATCATAAAGAGATTGTTGTGTCCCAGAAACAAYCTCTGGGCTGAATGACAGATTGAATAGACCTCTACTACCAGACTCCCTTGCACACTTTCTTTTGTTCAGTTCATTAGCACCCATTGTCTTACTATTCTCATGAGGGAATACAATTTTAAAAAAGAAAGAAAATTTACGAAGCATCTTGGTASTGGGAGTCAAACGATGAAATCATGCAAACAAAAATTTTATGTAGAGAGAAAAACTGGAAAACCCAGATATGAAATATTCATGTATGTATTACTCATTCATTCCTTAGTTAACCAACCATCTGATTATGGGTGTACGTAATGTTCATAAACATTGTGAATTGTGATGTTAGTGTGCCAACCATTTGAACAATAGGATTTGTCGCTTTGCTTTGTTGGATTGTCCATTAGATTTCTGGATGCCGAATTAAATAACAACCAAAACAAATTTTGTTATTGTACACCTACCTATTCATTCATTCTTTCTTTCATTCTATCATTCCCCCTTTTTCATCCATTTATTTGACATTTTTTTAAACTCATTAATAATTCATGAGGAAAGCACAACAGAAATCACGACCGTGAAGAGTTTTGTAAATCTGATACAGAATCCTGTTCATTTGCATAAACTTTAAGWWGGATTTTCTTGGCCAGATTCACTTTAATTTTGAAAATTTTAGTGAAACACAAAGGAGCTAACCTAGACGTTTGATAAGTAATCTACAGTATTCGTTTCCGTGTTGTATCCAATATACAAACTCTTGGCTACGCCTCGAGTTTGTATATCGGATACAACATGGCCACTCATACTGTATATATTACATACATATTAAACGTATTAATATCATTACCTGCCATGTAAGGGACCTCAATGAGCATGGCTGATGTCAAGTACACACATTCAAGYAGTTCCAGGTTAATATGCATGTGAAATGGAACCTAAATATATCAATAATTCAATCAATCAATCAACCAACAAAAATGAATTAAAGAAAGCTATCGAGTTCTGAACAATAGTAGAAAAAATATTTAAATTTATTGGCTAAGAACACTGCATGGTTGTTAGCAGTGTTGCAAGTTATGTTGAAACTTCATTCTACTTTTACAATGTTGTGTGCTTACAGAGGAGGACATGTGCAAGGTGTATCAAATGCTTGCACCAAATGCTTGCACTGTGTGCTTGACCCTAAAACTACTAATGTGTATGATAAATGTCCTTGAGGGAATTTATAAATTATATACTTTATGTTGTATACATGTACATTACCTGTCTTCTTTTCTCAATCTTCTCTTGTTCTGGAGTTCTTTCATACTGCCGCTGCTGCATAAGCCCCTTGAAGGTAAAAATGTGCAGATACAATAAATCATTAAGGATTATTACTATTATTTTTATCTTTATCACACAGTATTTAAGTATAAAGAACACAAGTTTTAAGTTTCAATAACTTTTCAGTCTTTCTTCTACTTATGATATATAATATATGTTTATGATGAAAACTATAAATGGGTATAATATTTTGAACTTGTAGCAGATACGTTTGAGCAATCTTTTTTCCATATTMATTGAAAGGAATGTTTAAAATGAAAACTATGAATGGTTATACAAACTGCTTACCTGTGCAAGGAGTTCCTTAGCACGTCCACTAGACTGAACATCATGAAGAGCATTATGCGCATCTTTGATCATGCCGTGTCTGAAGGCACAAAGTCCTAAATGCACCATCGTACGATTATACAAGATCTGAAAGACAAAGAAATCCCATTAACATCCTTATTTTCTTTGAAAAAATTCTTCATGAGGACAGGGTTTTTATTCTCCACTGGACTGCTTAGTGAATACAGTTATTTAATCTGCATAACATCATGTAGTTAACAAAAAGGCAGTCTCCATGGTCTGTATTTTACTGTGATCAGTTCAGACAATTGTATTTTGATCCTTCATGGTTGATCAAGAGAATAATGTCTCATCATTCACAGTAGTCTTGTTACATAATTAACTTAAATATTTTTTATTGAAGCTTAAAACAACCTCTGGGCTAATCTAAAGTTGGGTCACAGCTCAGGGCTCATTTAAGTCAGGGCATGGATAATTCACAGATCAAACCCAGAAACAACCTCTGGGCTGATCTAAGTCAGGGCATGGCTAACTCATAGACCAAACCCTGAAACAACTTCTGGGCTTATCAAATTCAGGGCATGGATAACTCATAGATCAAATTGGAATTAAACTCTTTGGGTTTCATGGAGGGACAAAAAATGGGACACCACTACACCACCCTTGATTTCCTAAACACAAATTATTACATCCTGGTTTCATATACCTGTGTTGGGATGTCAGAGTGTTGAATTGTTTCCTGTAAATGTGACATGAGCATTAAATCCCTTGCTTCGTACCAGCGATCATGGAGAGCATGATGAAATATGTGACAGAGCATTGCGCGGGTTCTAATGCGGTCAGAAGTATCCTTGGAGTAGATATATTTACAAAGATAAGCCATGGTTTCAGCAGAATTCTCTTTATTTGTTTCCTTTGATTTTTCTTGGTTCTCCTTTTCCTCTTTAGCTTCTTTTTCCTCTTTTGCTTCATTTTCTTCATTAGTTTCTTTTCCTTCTTCACTTTCCTTGTTGTCTGCTTTTGAATTGGGTTTCACAATCATGTCGGCATCAATCTAGACCAAAACACACAATATATATTTTTAAATTACAAACCAATGTTTCGTAGAGATTAGCAAGCACACTAATTTTTGTTTGAAGTGTGCAAAAATGTGTGAAATGATTTTCAGACAATATTCTAATGAAATACCAGGTGAGCAAGTATACTAATTCTATGTCAATATTTTGGTCAAGTATCAAAAGTTTTACATTTCGATAATCTTCACTAGAACACATTCCCTGTTAGCAGAGCCTATTTTCTTTTCRTTTTGGTGGAGTGAGAAAAAAGACTCTGCCGATGTAGGACATTATACTTGTCGCGCCTGTGTAGAGTAACTTARCAACGTTGTCATGATTTTGACAGCCGCTCTCATAATGGTGCCATGGTGTGTTAAATTATGTTGCTCATGAGCACTACATGTACCAGGTCAAAAACCGGTTTTAAAATTGCCATGGACRGCGGTGTAGCAAAGGAAACACTCTACATCGGCAGAGTCTCCCTTCTCCCTGCCTAAAAGAAGGGAGAGAAAGAGAATAGACTCTGCTAGCAACACGTGTATATTCTACACAAAAAGGCTAACCCTGAGCAACAGAGAATTTGAAACCAGAGGAACATAACCACAYGTACGTGTATAAAGTAAAATTAGCATTAACAAGTGAAGTGTAACTAGCATACCTTGTAATACAAATGCTCTATTCTTAACAGATATACTCTACAGAGTTCTTCCCGGGAGCCTTTCTTTTCCAGGTAGCTTTGAAGACGTTCAATCAGTACACACACTTGCTTTTCATCCTTGAGCCTAACAGAAAGCAGATAGAAAARAAGATAAAACCATTGCTAATTCCCATAGACCGTCTGTGTTACAGCAGCAGTTTCATACTACCACTACCAGRATTCATTGCACACTTTAATTATGTTAATYAAAGGCCACCATGGCAACCCAAATTTTATTATAGCTAATTAGAGAGCAGGAACATTTGTTTAGTCCGAGCCAGTCCATATTCATTGGYAAGGGAAAAATCATGATGCTATTCAAAGGAAAGATTCCTGATTGACTAACAAGCAAAAAAAGTGTTAGGGTGGGCACCATAGCAAAAGTCACACTGTAAAAATATAATTCACAAACAATTCAGTTTTTCTACCTGTCAACATATTCAGTAGAATGACAGTCACAGCCCTGCAGCATTTTGACGTATTCRGCATCCATTCTTTCTATCACTGTTAATACACAACCACGTACTTTCTGTACTGTCTCTGGTTTCTTTGGAAGGAAATTTGATTTGTAAATGATTGAGACAGATTCAAAACAAGTTAAAAGTTATATTGATATAGAATGTAGAATGCAGTGCTTATTGCACAATGCCATGATAAAGTCACGTACAATGTATTTTAAGCCAGTCATTCCTTGTAATGTAGCATTCACTATCCCCCCTAAGATGATAGTACAGATCATTTAGGATCCACTGGAATGCAGAATGAATAGGACTTTTCACCAAGTGCATTATTTTTTCCATTTCTGACCACATGTCATTCTCTTGAAAATAATATTCTTTGGTTCTGTTGTATCTATATTCATTTGTCTTTATTCTCATGCACAAATGATAAGCAAAGTAATAAYACTCTAGGAAATGACAGGTGGCATGAAATAGGAAAAGTAACTTCTCTTACATCAAATGTTTCATTCTCTTCCAGAAYATTTTCTCCAACTAATATATTTGGATTATTCTCTAGTATAGTCAACAGATCACTGATCTCCTTTAGGCACCTGCATAAGAAGATAAGGGAAAAAAGGTTATCAATTATTGACGTAAAATACTATTATCATTGAACATACTTGGCATCATCCTCTTTCTCTATCTATTAGCCATTTGGAAGATTAAGACTGGGGGATGCTGGAATTTTAGAAGGGGGGTGACTATTACAAAGGTTTTACCAGGAATTTGAGGAAAAGGGGGTGACTGTTACTAATTATATGTTGAGAAGGTTAAGCAGAATCTTAGCAAAAGGGGGTGAATAGTCACCTATTTTAACCACCACTGGATCTGTCCCTGCATCTTGGAAGTATAATGTTCCCTAAGCAGTTCCACAATGCACTGCAATGCCAACTTGACCTAGTTTTTTCCTCAACCCCCACCACCACCAGAATATCATCATCGATGATCTTTGGCATCAACATCACAGCCATGTTCATCAGTATCAACATCATGGCAATCATTTAAGTATCACCCTCCTTATTTAATGTTTTAACCCCAGCACACTTACTCTCCCCACATCTCAGCCTTCATACAGGTTGCTACATTAGGATTGTAGTCAAATATGGATGATATAACGTTGAATGTTAACTTGACTGTCATTGCTTCACCTATAACAATAGAACAAGAATTTTGTTAATAATAAAGAAGACCTTATGACTGGATAATCAGTGCTGATTTTTTGATCATGAAATTAATGCAGTGATGTAAAATTACCAAGATCAGCTCCACTGGCAATTCTTCGTAGTTCCTTTAGGAAACCAATTTGTTCAGTTCTATCAGTTCCCTGGTAAGACAAAACAATTGTCCATTAGGCGATTTTTASATGTCCTTGACCTATGATAGGCAAGAAAGAGGACGTGTAGGGTATAAAAAGAGAGACAAATTTGCATTGCTTACCTTCTTTCCTCTTGCTGCTAAGATTTCATGAAGTTTCTTAAGAACTACAGGATGAGTAATCTCTGTATCTTTTGGGAAAAGATGCTTGGCCTTGTCCTATAAGAAGTAAGAATCAAACTCATAAAAAAGCTGATAAGCTTTCTCAAGGTTTTGGTAATCAAAATCTCCCATCATTCAAGGTTTTACAGCATCTTTTTGTTTTTCCATTTTATATTGAACACAACTCTCTGGAAGATCATTTTATACATGTATATTTATGTATAAATGAAGAGACTATTTTGTATAAATAAAGATTACCATACCATACCACCATACCATACYATCCCCTCCCCTCCCTACACAAAACCCAACGCACTAAACTCTATTTCAATCCATCAGTTATCCAGACCTAAAGTAATGGCTGGAAGTGATGACCAGCTGATATCTGATTGATCAATATCTGACCAGTCAATGTGAGCATTTGAGAGGACCAGGTGTATTCAAGACAAGTTTCAATGCCAGATATTGTATGTTCAAATGATTAGCTGTAACCTAAATCAGCCAAGAGGATGGTACAGAGCTTGGTATCATTTGGGTAAAACCTTAACCCAGGATTTCCAGATGGATCATTTCCTTCACTTACTGTCAAGCCTTTGACCTCTATCCATCCCTCATTATCCTCTTTCTCTACGATCCTGGGAGCTTTCTTAATTTTCTTGACTTTCTTTTCTCCRGCAGTTTTTTCTCTGTTAATTCAATCAAGAAAAAGGTTTCCTAAATATTTATTAAAACTCACAAYACGATGCTGAGCATTGCATGGTTCCCAGTACTAGCTGATTGCAACCCAAGTCAGGATTRAGGCAGATTAACATAGACTACTTTAGTACTTTATGATACTGGCTTATAATGTGTATAACATTAGTAGTTGTGGTTGTTGCGGCTTACTTTTTCAAGAACATACTGGCTGTCAGTTCCATAGGAGCTCTTTCATCCATTGAACTCTCGCTTGAAGACTCTTCTTCACTCTCATCCCAGTCTATAGAAGACTCATCGGAGTCACTTGCTTCTCCACTCTGTTTGATAAGGGAAAAAAGCGTGACTTGATAAGAAAAAAAAAGTGTGACTTGGTTAATGACAAGCCTAGGGCTTATATGCCGAATTATACAAAATAGTATACATCTACTAAGCAAATTGAAAAGCAGTATTCATACAGAGTTCCTTAACCGTCAATAAAAAAAGAATTTCATACCTGTTTTGCCACCTTTTTCTCAGCAGCTTTCTTTTTTAACAAATCACTGGATATCATTTTAGGCTCATCTTTGCCAGATTCCTCTGATTCAGACTCTGTAAAAAATAAAACAGATTAACATCAAGAGTGAATAAATGTAATTGAAAGCCTCAAATAAGCCACTTGCAGCACTTCAGAATGCAGCTCAATTTGGACGACATAACAATAGGTTTTCTCAGGAGACTGAAATTCATTTGTTTCGTCCTCCAAATTGAGCTGCTTTGACGTCACATGCAAGGGGTCTATCTATTCCACGCTACAAACCTGATTCCTCCTTTTCTGATTCTCCAGACAAAACAGGATTCTGACAAATAAATAATAATACTGCTTTAACTTTATGACACTTTTATTGCCAGAAAAGTTCCAAGGAACACGGCCTAGTAAAATATGTCAAAATTGAAAATTGTATATTACCTCCCTGTRTTTTTCAATTTCTGTTTCAAATTCCTTGTTGAATTTTTTGAGCTTCTGACGCAGAGTTGACAATGACTAATAATCACAATATACAGAAATTAAGTTAGCAATTCTCATATATATTATGTACTCTATTGAGTGCTCTACAAGCTTGTTTACCTTAGCATTTACTTTGCTAAGCTTTTTCCTTGCTTCTGTGTCTTCCCAATTCTGAATAAAATAAATACTTATCTTTTTAATTTCACCAAGAATAATTAAATGCAGAAAAAAACCATTCAATGATGTACCAGGACAATATTATTAGTACAATGAAAATTATAAGGAGTAACATTKCTGCTTAAGACAATTATTTCTTGAATACTCTTGCAAAAGTAAAGTACTAATTACAATGTTTTAACTAGTACACTGTTGTATACAGCATTTGTTCATAGCATCATTTTAAAAAATACACAAATTTCTGAGTGAGCTACCCTATTCAAATCACCATACCACTTTAACGAAGGTTTCAAGATCAGCCAAGCAGCGAATGTAGAACAGTGGTATTCCTTCCTTATCTAYGACACCCTTAGCTTTATTGTAAGCTTTACCAAGGTTTTCAAACTCTGGAATAAAAGGTTGAATTTTCAATAAGCATGCAGAATGCTCTGAGGTGGGAGAAAGTAGGAAAAGGGAAAATGGAAACAAAATGGGAGTAGTAGTAGGAAAATGAAAACAAAATGGGAGAAATAGTAAGAAGTAATTCTTTTTAATATACACAAGGAATATAATTGTTTTAAAGAACCAGTTTGCTTACCTGAGAAAACTTTGGACATGTCTTTAATCTTTTTGTGGTTTTTGAGTTGCTTGATAACATTTTTGAGCTCATCAAACCTTGAAACAAAGACAAATCAGCTTATAAGATACAAGCACCAGCACCAACATCATCATCATATCTTCTACAAACATTCTACAATCATCATCTCTATTTTCATCATCATCAYTTTCATCATCGTTACGACTAAAACCATTATCAGCATCACCAACAACCATATAACATCACCACCAACCATATAATATCACCACCAACCATATAACATCACCACCAACCATATAACATCACCACCAACTAAATAACCCATATATATGACTGTCATAATGAACTTTAAAGGAGTTCTCAATGGATAACACAAGGTAGACTTTAAGCATCAAATATGTTACTGTAGAATGCAGTGCTTATTGCACAATGCCATGATATGGTCATGCACAATGTATTTCAAGCCAGTCATTCCTTTTAATATAGCATTCACTATCCCCCCTACAATGATAGTACRAATCATTTAGGATCCACTGGAATGCATCATGACCACTATAACCTTAACAATCATCAATATATCAAAAGCATATCGGCAGTATATATTCCATACACTAAGGTCATTTCCCCGTTAATGGCCTATACTGTACCAAAAACAGAYGCTTTTGAAAATGTTTATGATGTCATTCACACCGGCACATCTGTTGATTGCATTATTTCAGATTGAGGGAAAAGGCTTGTGTTGACACAAAGCTTTCAATGCATGTTTCAAAAACACATTGGTATGGAAGTGGCTTAACAAACCTCTTTCTACACCAACCTCAACGTCATGTGAACAACAGTGGCATCATGTGTAGCTGGCTTGCATTATCATCAAGAATACTCTACTACTACATTGCAATCATCATACTTATAACTTTACTATCAGTGAAACGCTTATCGGTAGATGGCCAGATTTAGTATTATTGTGAAAAGATCATGGTATAAATTGCTAGACCTTGACAAGCATGATCAAATTGCTTTAATGGATGTCATTAATTCTGTGCTAACAGTGAAGATACCATGAACTTTTCGCACTAATGTAGGATTTTCCAATCAATATAAAATATTCTTCCCTGCTAGCAGAGCCTATTTTCCTTTTGTTTTGGTGGAATRAGAAAAATAGACTCTGCCGATGTAGGACATTATACTTGTTGCGCCTGCGTGGCGTAACTTAGCAATGCTGTCATGATTTTGACAGCTGCTCTCATCAAGCGACGCTTGGTGCCATGGTGTGTAACATTTACTCATGCGCACTACATGTACCAGGTTAATAACTGGTTTTAAAACTGGTTTCATTTGTCCACGATCGTGGATGGCGGTGTATCAAAGGAAACGCTCTACATCGGCAGAGCCTCYCTCCTCCCCGCCCAAATGAAGGGAGAAAAAGAGGAAAGACCCTGCTAGTAGGGAAAAAATTCTTATATGATCAATGTACACTARTATATTGGTGCATGTAGGTGTACCTTTTGTCTTTTTTACTTATAACCACTCTCTTTGTTTCTTCTTCATCATCACTGAATACAAATGCTCTATTGATGATAATAAAAATACAAAATAAGTGCAAACTCCCCTTTTAATTTCTTTACCATRAACTTCTTACTTTAATATGGGTTTCAACCAGAAGAAGCAAGCGAAAGCAAGCAGACAAAAAGCCGGTTTTAGACAGTTCCATTAGATTTAGAAATAACTATTTCTACCATTTGAACCCTAATCTGTTAAAACCAGCAAAAAAAATGCTTGAATGTGTTTCTCATATCTTCAATGAATAAAAAATTCAACTTCAGAAATTCTCACTAAAGACACGTCAGAAATCCAGAGCCCAGCCACGAGGGAGGGTTTCCTAAAATCAAGTTACGACTTTAATCGTAAAATAAAGACAAACACAAACCTAGAGGTGACGGGAGCTTGTTTAACAACTACTGGCTGTTCATCTTCACTTGTATCACTCTCACTGCCTGAACTAGCAGCGAAAAAACGCGACATTTTTGATCTGATTTTTTCTCCTTCTTCGAGGACGAGAATCAAAGATGGCGCACGTGCCTTGTCGAGAAGACCCCCCGAATTTCCTACGAAACCTTTACGAAGTATCTTCGGGATCCGACAATCGCCCGATGATTGTTTCGTTCCCATGCTCTCTCGTGTTGGTACCCAGACCTTCTTGTCGCACGTGGAGCAAGATGGCGGACGACTTATTGTGACATCAAAAAAGAGTCCAAAATGGGGAAAAAAGCCAAGACCGGGAAAGGAAGGAAGGATAGATTTTACCACTTAGCAAAAGAAACAGGTAAGACGACTTTTCTTGCRTGATGTTTATTATATTTGTGAAGGAAAACTTAGAAATTTTGGTTTATTTCTTCAGGTTACAGGGCTCGTTCGGCCTTTAAGTTGATTCAACTGAACCGCAAATTTAATTTCCTACAAAGTTCTCGCTGTTTGATCGATCTGTGTGCTGCACCAGGAGGATGGTTAGTTATTATATTATAGTTCTTGCTAAATATGATCGAAGTTCGTTATCTCAAAACAGTATTTCCGAAGATCACAAGATGCAATTGAGGRAACTGAACACTGACCTTGATCTTGTATTGATCTGAAAATCGTCTTACAATTTCTTTTATAGGCTTCAAGTAGCTTCAAATTTTATGCCTGTATCAAGTCTTATTATAGGTAATTGTAATAGTTTTTCTTCCATATTGGTTGTTACTAATCAGCTGATTAAATCTCTTGAATCCCCTGATAGGTTAAACCTGCTAGTAGAGCCTATTTTCCTTTTGTTTTGGTAGAGTGAGAAAAATAGACTCTGCTGATGTAGAATGTTATACTTGTGGAGCCTGCGTGATTTTGACAGCCAGCACTCTTGTCAAACAACGTTTGGCGCCACTGTGTTGCATTAATGCTCATGCGCACTCCATATACAGGGTTAAAAACCGGTTTTAAAACTGCCGTGGACGACAGTGTATCAAAGGAAGTGCTCTACATAGGCAGAGTCTCCCTCCTCCYGCCTAAAAGAAGGGATAGAAAGAGGAGAGACTCTGCTAGCAGGGAACTGATWGGCAAACACTCTTAAATTTGATTCTCCCAATAGAGACTTTTCACTCTCACAAACTACCACTATATTGATAGCAGCAATCAATCTATTATGTATTGTATAAAAGAGACAAATGACTCTCAATGGTGAGACAAATGGATAAGTATTAATTATTATCAAAAAGTARCCATTTTCTTATAACCCCAACCTCACTCCCCTTCCTGAGCTTTCTACTTTAGACAAAGAGTCACTTATCTTCTTGCTATCATGGGAATGTATGATAATTATAGTATAGTAAAATGTAATTATTTGGTTTATTTGAAGGTGTTGATCTTGTTCCAATAAAGGCAATCAAAAATGTTATAACCTTCCAAGATGACATTACCACAGAAAGCTGTAAACAGGTATGGAGAATACTTGCTGTATCATACCACTGTACCACTCATTTGAAAATTAATATAGATGTAATAATGTCTAATTGCCCTCACATTTTAAAGTTTTTCCCCTTTTTTATAGCAATTAAAGAAAGAGCTCAAGACATGGAAAGCTGACTGTGTGCTTAACGATGGTGCACCTAACGTTGGTGCAGCATGGGTTCAAGATGCTTTTTCACAATGTATGAGACATCCTAACCAACTCTTATACCAACAATTGATTATTAAACAAGATTTTATATGCCTGTCAGGGCTTAAAATAATTGTCGCACACTGGAATTTGTCTGGTGAAATCTTTGCCTTGCTGGTCATTTTGACCAGTTATGTTGAGCCAGAAACTAGGTATGACCAAGCTAAAACTAATATAGCTTGTCGTCATGACTGGTGACTTACCCGTCCTGGGAAAAATTCACAGTATAGATGTACTGCACCATGCTGTGGAACTTGATGCTGCCATGTCTGAACATTCAGATTAGATGTACAGTGATCTTGTACTTGTCTTACGTTCTTTCGTGACTCAGCGGATTGACCTGCATTTTTTCCATGATGTTTTACAGTTTTAAAAAATGTACTCTTCTGTAATTTTTGATKGTTTTCTTCCAAGTAATTGATCAGAAATGTTATTTATTTACAGCTGAACTAACCCTMAGTGCTCTGAAGCTGGCAACAGACCATCTTAGAGAAGGAGGATGGTTCATTACCAAGGTAGGTTTGATATTTTCTATCATCTGTTTAATAGCAAGCTGGATTTTTTTCATTTTTATATCTTACCATCTTTGATCTCAATATACCACTTTCATTATTAATGATGCCTACATGTATAATTTTTGGGAAATTAGTTTTTCATTATGTAAGTGCAATAAATATGTAGTTGCTGTCGCTAGGATAGCTGTAATATATATACAGTCTTCCATCTACTTGTAGAGTTGGTGGTATTTATTACATTAATAGACTCATCATTTATATTTATTTTGTTTAAATGACTAATATCATTGTTTTTGATAGGTTTTTAGGTCAAAAGATTATCAGTCATTACTCTGGGTTTTTCAACAACTTTTTAAGAAAGTYCATTCCACCAAACCTCAAGTAAGAATATAAAATATATCATCATATTACACTCGTGATATAATACAGTATATACCTATATATGTGTAATACTGTCACATTTCGTGGCTCTATTGTACATGTAAAATAGTCTCTATGCCACCATTTATGTCAAGCCCTCTACCTTTGAAAAATGAACATCCACTGTGCATTGTTATTCTTATTCTTTCTTAATAACACAGGCTTCAAGAAATGAATCAGCAGAAATATTTGTAGTTTGTGAGGTGAGTTTAGCTTTGTACATCATGTATGTTTCTTTAAAAAATCTTATGTGCATCTTGAACCCCACCTAGGTGTATAGAATAGACTGTGAAAGACCTTTTTTGCTTTACAAAATMAAGTGGCTATTAAGTTATTAACTTTTTATGTCATTTATCCATTTTCAGGGATACTTGGCACCGCATAAGATCGACCCCAAAATGCTTGATCCAAGACATGTGTTTAAAGAAGTACAAGAAGAAAACACCAAGAAAATTAGCATCCTTCAACCAGAGGTACAATTAATTTTTTATCTAATTTGCAATTGATAAAACAGCTGTTAACAAATGAAATACTCAGACTGTGCAATTAGGGATATGTTAACATAATGAGCTGTGAATCAAACTATAGCTATGTGCTCATGTTGTCTTCCTTCCTCTTCCTTCATTCCTTCCTCTTCCTTCCTTCCTTAATTCCTTCCTTCCTTTTTTTCATTATTTATTTATTCATTCATCCATTCTTTCGTTTGTTTGTTTATTTATTTATTTATTATTTATTTTAGAAAAAGAAAAAAGCAGAAGGTTACAGAGAAGGAGACACACTSTTCAACACATTAAAAGTGTCAGAATTCATCCAGAGTACTTCACCCTTACAGTTGCTGCCAGATATCAATGAGGTGAACTTATATACATTTTGAAAAGTAGAGAATATTGAAATATGAATATACAAAAACTAGCTTTGCCACGACAGTCATCTTTATAGGTGGTTATCACAAGCATGTCCAAAGCATCATGCTTCTAAAAAATCCTGGGCTTAAACCGCGAAAGTTACTTTTGCTACACAACAAATGGTTAATGATTATTGTTTGGTTGCTGTTTCTTTTTCAGATTGTTTTTGATGACAAAAATATTTTAAACCACAAGCTTACCACAGAAGAAATCRAAATGTGTTGCAAAGATATTAGAGTACTTGGAAGATCAGATATCAAGTAAGAAATAATGCTATAGGTCAATCAATAAAAACATGTGYTTTCCAATGTTAAGCCTGCATATAAGTCATTCATATAAAAAATYCCCTTAAATTTGAGGCTTTAACCWGGATATACTCTGGTGAGCCAGCTGATCCAAGGAAAAATATCATCCAACAAGAATCAAGAAAATTTYCAAAACTGAGGTGTCTTCTTTACTCTTSAAATTATGGATGTCCAGACCACCAAATGAAAARAAAAWAATGTTRCTAWTAAGTGCTTGACACATTAATAAATTAGTTTACCAAACAGACCTTGTTTGTCTTAATGTTTAGGGCAAACAATAATGGTTGCTCAATATAAATGGTCAGACAATATAATTTGATTTATTGATGTTGTAATTTTGTATTTTCACAGAAATCTTGTTTTATGGCAAAAGCTTTTAAGGAAAGAACTTTATCCAAAAACCACTGATAAAAGGTAAATATTGGTGAATGACAAATSGGTAAATATTTAAAAGTGTGTTAAATATTTATCTTCTTTATTATYATAGTGCAGATGGTGACGATAAGGATGAGGAAGAAACGGAAGAGGTATTTATGCAGTATCTTTGATCRGATCAAAACATTCTGGATGCTGAGAGAACATGAGAAAATCTGACTGGTTTCCAGCTTCTCAAGTGTTTCTTGTTATCCCCAAGTTTTAATCTGCAGAGTATCAATCACTGAAAACTGTCTTRTACAACTTCTTTATAGAATAACAAGCACACAAATTAAGGGAAAATAATAAAAATACTGCKCTCAAATCAGAGTGATGCACAGAAAAAAATAATGAGAGTGTTTGATAATCTTTTCAAACATGGTAACTTATTGACCAATCAGAACACATTCTCTCTTCAAACATGGTTTTTTGACCAATCAGAACACATTCTCTCTTCATACATGGTTTTTGACCAATCAGAAGACATTAATTTTTATAAATAATCTTTTTAATGTTTTGAATCATAATCTGTTCTTATTATTAAACTGTGGTACTCTACATTGCATAAATCTTTAATCRATTGGATTTGTCATGAAATTTCAAAATCTTTTACTAACAGGAAGCAATTGAAAAAACTATTTTATCTCTGAAAGAAGAAGAAAGTGCAGAAATAAAAAGGTGAGAAATTGTTTTTTGGTTTTTATCAAGAAATTAGGTAGACAGGAATAGTTAGATACACACAACCATCACCATTAAGCCACCAACACTCAGAATGGCGTGGTGTGGTGTGGTAATTTAATCTAATATGATGTCATTGAACCTACACATTATATTTTGTATTTTCTGTGGTGTTGGATAAAAATTAATAGTTATACAATGCTTTGTCGTGGCATACCATGGAATATCCCACTTGTCACTTGTTTATAATAGTTAAATAGAATGCTTTCTTGTGATACACCATGGAATATCCCACTTGTCATTTGTATATAATGGTTATACAATGCATGGTACACTACTCAAAAGCACTGTGGAATATTGAACTAGCATGTATTATTGTTAAAGGAAAAAAAGAAGAGTCTTGCAACAGAGACAAAAGCTTCGAGATAAGATGGAGTTAAAAATGGTTTTGCCAGGAGATACAAAAGAAATTGAGGATGATGCAGAAATMTTCTCCTTAGCTAACATAAGAACAAAAAAGGTACATGTATTCTAAAACTTAGAAAACTTTTTTTTGTAAAAATTCAGATATACTGGCTAGCCACCAATTCCACCTTAGATCCAACCTTTTCTGATCTAACTATAATTATTGTCCTATTTGATTGTCTTGTTTTACCATCAGCATATTGATGAAATCGATGATATTGGTGCCGATGTCATGGATGATGGGGCTATYGGTAAAGATGACAGTGGAGATGAAGAAATAGAACTTGAAGAGACTGACAGTGAAAAAGATGAAGAAGTGGATTCTGAGAATGAAGGAGAAGATGATGAGAATGATGAAGAAGAGGARGAAAACAAGARTCATGCACYAGGGTATTGTATAGGCCKATCTTTGTTTACATTTTTTCCTCATTAGCGTWAAAAAATTTCAAGCTACGASCAAACCGACTCCAGAAATMGAAAGAGAATGTCTTATTTASTATTTACTGAAAATTTGGCCTATAAATGTAAAAATAATAAACATATGCTACAATATTTTTTTGTARCCTGAGACCCCAGAAATGAGAGAGAGACAATTTACTACCACTAAACCACCCATAATTCCCTTAAGCAATGGTATATACATTTTGTTTCATTGACGATTTGCTAAATCACTGACTGTGGTAATAATAGTGTAACAGGTTCATCACTGTATTCAGTTAACTTATCAAAATTTTTATAGTCATAGTTTAGTAAATGAGGAGAAAAATCCACTGGTTGTCGACCTTGAAACTGATGTTCCTGCCAAAGAAAAAGCAGATATGTGGTTCAAAAAGGTAACTTGATGAAGGAAGGAATATTCACAACAAGGCATCTTGACCTAACAGGCTGTAGACCTTGAGGAATTCCACCCATTCAAATTATAGAAATATTATTTGACTTCTAGACCTTGGGGAATTCCATCCATTCAAATTATAGAAATATAATTTGACTTCTAGACCTTTGGGGAAAAGGTCTTGTTTACTCCTGACAATGAAATAAGACTACTGTGAATGATGAGACATTATTCTCTCGATCAACCATGAAGGATCGAAATACAATTGTCTGAACTGATCACAGTAAAATACAGRCCACTAATGAACASTRTTCTAGTGGTGACATGTKGTTAACTTGTTGTGATGGTCSACTTGAATCCTTACAGGATGTGTTCAAAGGGATAGAAGATGAAGAAGATGAAGATGTGGAGATCAGCCAGATGCTGGAAAATTACAAGAAAAAGGGAGGAAAGTTATTGGGTGAAGGTAAATGGACAATGAACTGAATAAATGGATGGATGAACAAGTGAATGAATGGATGGATGAATGACCAAGTGAATGAATGGATGGATGATTAGATGAACAAGTGAATGAATGGATGGATGATTAAATGAACAAGTGAATGAATGAATGACCAAGTGAATGAATGGATGGATAAATGAAAGAAAGACCAATGATTAGATAAAAGAACAAATGAATGAATGGATGCTTGGATATGCCAGAATGAAAGAATAAAAGGGAAAGAAGGGGATTGAATATTGCTGGTGATTTAAGACTGCGGTGAACTATCTGTCTGTRATACTTTTATTACCAAGAATCTTTTTTCTGAATATTAGAAATCTTTTTTCACTTTATTTCATTCCATCTTGTGAAACTATATTTTTATCCTATTTCTTTTAGATGGTGTAGATTCTACTGCTGAAAACAAGACTTCAAAAAGCACAGAAATTCCAACTAAAAAGCTAAAACTGAGTGATGATAAGGATGATGATGATGACACAAGTGATTCCAGTGATTCAGACAGTGATTATGATATGGAACAAGAACAAGATGACAAGAAAGATGAAGATTTTGAGGTTGTCCCTAAAGAATCCTTGAGTAAGCAGAGCAACACTTTACAATGATTTAACACTTCAAATAAACAGTGTTTAACATACCTGTGACCCTCATTGACTTGTTTCTTAGGTTCCTATGCCAAGAAGTTGACACCAGAGGGCCTAGCTCTTGGAGCACAGATGGCTTTGTCAAGGAAAAGAAAAAGAGACATTATTGATGACTCTTTCCACAGGTTAGTAATCAGTGACTCATGAATATTAATTAGTAGTAACTATGGTGACATTAGAAAAATTAATATGGCTACTAGATTGGTTACTTGGGTACCTTAAAAGGAAATGGGAATTTATTTTATGACGACTACAGGGAGTGATGGCTCAGTCTCCTGGGGCTCACATTTCAACTTTTAATGACAGACCAAATTGGAATTTAGTTGAGGATATTTATGGAGGGAGGAAAATCTGAGAAGCCTGAGAAAAACCCTCAAAGCACAAAAAAAGAACCAACAAACAACTCAACTCACGTAAGGCACTGAGTCCAGGAATGGAACCTGGCTCGCATTTGTGAGAAGCAGGCCATTAGTGGCACATATCACCCATGTTTTCCTAAAAATCCTTGGATGATGAGAATTTTTACTCCTGATCAAATGTGGAGGATAAAATGAAACTACAATTCTCTGATACAGGCTTTGATTGATGGGCTTAAAWCTAGCTGTATATTACTTATTCATTGACGTTTTTACTAACTAATATTTTTATTCAGATGGACCTTTAATGATCCTGACCTGCCGTCATGGTTTGCTGAAGACGAAGCTAAAGTTTACCAGAGAACTCTACCTGTGACTAAAGAAGAAGTGAGGGAATATCAAGCAAGAATGAAGGAAATYAATGCAAGACCAATCAAGAAGATTGCCGAAGCCAAAGGCCGCAAGAAAAGAAAGGTATGATACRATGAAGGGGGTGGCAGCCATGATGGAGTGTAGGATATCATCATACATAGCTACCATTAAGTTGGTATGTGTGCTGTTCGCAAAACAAGGGATGTATAGTTTTTATGAGTATTCCATGGTCTTATGTAGCCTTAGTTTTAAATATTATTTCAACAGGGGGTGGGGYGRGGGTGGGGGAGAGAYGAAGGAGGAGGTAAAAKGYATTCYGTCAGCTTCTATTARTAGMAGTTGAACTTCATTTGAAATACCAAAAGACATTATGACTTTCACCAATTTTTGGAAAATTTATATKATTTTCTGGATTTGACSTCAGGAAATGAGAAGGATGGAAAGAGCAAGAAARAAAGCTGAAACAATCTGTGAAGCRCCAGATGTAGCACCACAAGAGAAGCTAAGACAAATACAGAGGTAAGTACTGTATATACACCATTTTTTGACAAGTTTTACACTTAAAAAACCTTACGATAACCAAGGAAATTGTGAACGGATTTCGTGA